AAGCATGGTTCAGTTTTTCAATTTTCAATTTTTTAGATAGTTTTACGATTCTCTTCAAAAATGGATTTTGCATTCTGATTGATGTAAGTGGTCAACTTCGCATAGCACCATAACAAAAATAAACAAGAAAGGTGAATGTGGTTGTATTCTTGACTTTCCAATTGCATTCAAATTAATTAATGCGATTTCTGTACGTTATAGGTGTTGATTTCAAGGTAAAATATGTAAACATTGGGGGGAAAAAGCTTAAGCTTGCAATTTGGGACACAGGTAAGAAACACATTGTGATGCCAAGTCTGCTGTTTATTCATGCTTGGTGTAGTATAATGTCCAGTTTCAGTAATTTTGTATCTACTGCTTTTGCTTTCTACATGAGATTTTGATTGATCAAAATGTTGATCTTGATGCTGTCTAGCTGCTGAAGAATTAATACAACATGTTAATTATATAACCATCCTTTTATGTTCTGGACTACTTTACTAGATGAGCCTGGAACTTGTTGAACTGATGGAACTTTTCAAGTTTACATTCTGGAAGTTTTGGATGCTCACTTGCTATCTTCTGTAGATTATATAACTTTTGGTGATATCTCTTGTTAGATATACTTTCCACAGGCATTTATGTGTTCGAACATACGTCAGTATGGGGGATGCCTTTGATCAATGTCATAGTTCTAGGGGAAAAAATGGTTGGAGTTCTTTTCATTGTTGATGAGGTCTTAGCAAAAGATTTAACACTTTTGATTGGGAAGGGCAAAGGAAGCTTTGGAAGAGTGTTTTTTACCAAGGAGTGGAATGCTGCAGCAGCAAATTTAAAATGGCAATCGAGTCTTTACTGGAATTCTTTTGTTGTCAGTGACTGTTCTCTGTTGTATAGAACAAAGATAATTTAGCAATAGCTCTTCTAGTTGCAGGAGGCCTTCTTTTAGCATGGTGGCTCACATGAGAAAATCACTTGAAATGGATAATGGCAAGAGGGTGAGAAAGAGAATGAATTAGCATGTTATTTAAAAGATTTTGGAAATTAGTGGCAGTTCTAATATATATGTCTTCCCAGTATTCTTTAGTCCTGAGTGTGAAAGTCTAAGTACTAATGAGTCTCAATAGTTTTATTCCTATCTGGTATTTTATCCAACTATCCTATAAAAGCCACATAGATTCATGTAGGGATTCTGGTGTAAGAAACAATAGCCGACTGACTGAGAATAACCGATTCTTGTATCGATAGCAGGTTGGACCTTTCCTCCAAAACTTGTTATGATGTTTTTTGATTTAATGTGCAGCTGGTCAGGAAAGGTTCAGAACATTAACAACCTCATACTACAGAGGAGCACAAGGGATTATCATGGGTATTTCATTTACATTTTCATTGATCAATGTTATTAGCATGACACAAGGTTTCGGCGAAGCACACCTATTTCTCCAATTCAAACTGCAAGATGATCCTGTTTACATGCATCATCCATAGAACTTTACCACTTTGTTGATCTTGTTGTGACACAGTTTATGATGTAACAAGACGGGAAACATTCACCAACCTTTCTGAAGTTTGGGCCAAGGAGATTGACCTTCACTTAACGAATCCAGATTGCATCAAGATGCTTGTTGGAAACAAAGTTGACAAGGTAATTTGTTCATCTATCCAGGAATTGATTTGAAGAACTGTAAGGATAACACCACTTGTGTTGAAATAAGATTTTGTAAAACATTTCGGTGAAATAAGATGAATGTGCCAGAAACATAAGAGATAGCCATGGGAATTTCAAAGAATCAACCTCCAATTTAATATTTCCTTCGGTTCAGATTCAGATAATAGTAGCAGGTATGAGTATCTAAAAGTTCAGAATTTGAAGCATTTATAGTCTTGTCAACTAATTCTTACATAAATCAGCCCAAGAGAATGATCTTTTTCTTTTCTTCTAATGGTGTAACACAAATCCTTCAGTAGCTAAAATTTTATTATCATGTGCTGCCTTTCTTCCTGCCATAGCCCTCCATCCAATATACACGTACATATGCACATAACCAAAAAGAATTTACATGTTTGTGGACTTGTCCTGATTTCTTGAGAGACTCGTAAATACGAACTAGGTGCTAATAGAATTGATTTTTGCCCTTGTCCCATCTTCTGTTGGACTTTTGTCCTTCCCTACTCTTGGATCTTTTGCCAGTGGGCGTAAAATCACTTCTTGACAGATTTCGTGCATTGTCTCCAACTAAGACGCTGAACCTGAAAAAGTATCCTTCATGCTATATTAGTCGAAACATCTCATGCTTTACTTTTCGTATTCTGTTTTTCCTTGTGTATATGCAATTATAGGCCTCATTTCTTGTTTGATTGTAGACTATAGTCCTACTACATAAGAGGGTCTAGTGCTTCTGTTTGATGATTTTCATTTGATTCATTACATGACTTGTCAAATCATATGGCATACACTCCATTTCTGAAACATGAAATTTTGGTCAAGTGATATGTGAAGCTTTTTCATTGTTCATGTTCAAAATTCCTCCAAGATGTGTTGCTTCTGGACTTCTTTGTTTCCTGAAGGCATCTCTCCCCCAGTTTTGGTTGGATTCAAGCTGCATTTTGCATACATTATGCGCCTTTTGCTGCTTTTTTTCTACTCTTATTCTTCTTCACTTATCATTGTTTGTTTTTGAAACTCTTGAAGTTTTCTGTGATCTCAATTCCAGTACGAAGTCTTCTTCACATTTGAGCAGAGATATCAGGCACTAATTCTCTGATTCTTCCAGGAGGGTGAACGTTCGGTAACCAAAAAGGAAGGAATAGATTTTGCTAAGGAATATGGAACCCTTTTCATCGAATGCAGTGCAAAAACTCAACTCAATGTGCAGCTTTGTTTCGAAGAGCTTATCTTGAAGGTTAGTCAAATCTGAATCAACAAATTTGTTTTGTAGACCTTATCAACAGATTTTTTTCAAACAAGTTTTGCTGCTATTCAATCCTTGGGCTGCAATTACTTCTCCCATTTGTTGATGGATTCAATTTCTTTCATTTTTATTATACTCCTAATGAACTATGTTTCTTAACAGATTCTGGATACTGAAAGCCTCTTAGCTGAGGGCTGCAAGGGTGTGAAAAAGAACATATTCAAAGAAAAGCCACTGGAATCTGACACTTCCTCAAGTAGCTGTTGCTAATCCTTGTTTCTCCTAAAACTTCTAACACCTATTTTGATCCCTTCAGTTATTAGCCACTATTACTTGTATAAAACTTGATCTAAGCAATGATATCACAAGTTGGCTTCCACATTGTATAACTTGTTATTGCTGTGCAAACTGGAATTTTTTTTGGGAACTCTTTTGGCTCAACATTTGACAAATGGCTTGTTTATGGTTTCTTTTTTTTTTTTTTTTCATTGATTAGATTTAGGATAACATCTGCTATAAATATTGTTTACAACTTTCTCTCATTCATCTCAACATTTGTGCTATTAAGATGATTATTTCGTACTACCCTTAAGTTGAGCTTTCTGCTACTTCCAGGGGGGGGGGGGGGGTTTCCCTTTTCTTTTCTTTTTCTTTCTTATTATGAGATAGAAAATTTCAGAAGATTTCCTGTAGGATCATCCCCAGAATAAGAAGCCACTAAAATTTGGTTACCACAATGAAGCCTCAATTTAAATGTTAACATACCCAATATTCTTTTTTTAAAAAAAAAAATTTGAGAAAAGAAAGAACTTCATTAATAAGATTACTGGATATCGTCTAACACGACTTGCTTGATAAAACTTGGAAAGGTAGATAGAAGATCATCTTCATCATTAATGAGCTTGATAATTGAAGATGCGTCGCCCTGCAACATGAACAGGTCTACTTAATTGCTTTAAAAATTACACCTTACGTTAATAAATGAAGTGTGAATCCAGAGAGGGAGAATTAGTAGTCCAATAGATAGTCTAACCATTGGAGCTTTTTCGGCACTTTCATACAAGCATGAAGCAAGTTGGTAAATTGCGTCTACCTTCTATATTTTAGAGGCATATTTGGAGTCGAGAGATATATCTGACTTCAATGCTTAATTGTTTTATTTAGTTTTTTTCTTTGGAATACAATATTATTACAATTGGTCCTATACTGAGGGATAGGAGAGACGGATAGACCTATTGAATCAATTGAGAGGTTCGTAAGGAGCTAAAATCTTTAACCATGCTTCAGAAAATTCTAGAGAAGAAAAGGAGTCATGGGGGTTCGGCCCTCCGGCTCGTGTCGAGGGAGGGACTTAACCCCTCCTCTAGTAGCCAACTAATGCTTAATTGTGAAATATAAAAAAGTATAAATTAGTTTCTCAATTCAGGGTTATTCTTGAACGGTGTAACATTTTTTGAACATTTTATAATTTTGAGTGAACTGCTTATACATCCTTACAACATAGGCACGATATTTTATTACTGTCCATGTAGATCACATGCATAATACTTACATCTCTGTTATAAAATTTTATAAGTAATTTACATAGAGTTACATCTTATTCAAAAAATATTACACTGTTCGGAACGGCTCTCACTGACCGACAACCCTCGGTGGCCTGGTCCCTGAAAGATGATGGTCGGGTACAGAGTTAAAGTCAGCTTCAAATACGGCATGAATGGAAGCCATACAAAACTGCCATTCTATATTACTATTTATTGGTTTCTTACCAATTCTTTCTCTTCCATGGCAGGTTGTTCAGCAGCACACACCGCTGGTACGTGCTAGGCCAGATAGTCAACGCTATACTTGAACCTGCGCAAATTGTGCAGTTCAAATATAATATATAAACGCGGCCTAATTTTAAATGCAAAAACCATTCGTTGTTTGTGCCCCATAGGGTCCATAACCTCCCAACCCCATGACACTGGCCAAACCTTAAAACTTGGTAAGATGGAACTGAGGGCTCCCTATGCTTATTCATTTCCCACTACTTTCAGAACTTTTACATTCTTTGCAAGATCATTCAAGAATAAGTTGCATGATTTCTAAAATTAGTCTAAAGTTTACCAGATTAAGTCGTAAAAGACGGTTAGCTTTTCATACAATTGTCGGTACAAAAGTTGAATTTGACATGCTCATGAATCAATGACAAAGAATTCCCTCTTGGACATCAAGCTATAAACCAATACAAGGCATGCTTGATTGCTTGGGTTCTTTTTATTGTTTTTTTTTTTCTCTTGGAACGTGTATTTGGACAAATAATGTACATCTTAAACTAATTCACCATTTTTGGCTGAAAGAGATTGTATAATACAGCTTCTGGAACTTTTCCACCTGAGGCACCAACTAGGGGCTAGCAGCCTCTTTTGGTTGTTCAACCCAAGTGGAATTTAGCAACTTGAGCAACATTCTTGCCTTGGCCTTGGTCCTCCCACTACACTGGCTCTGAAGGAGTAAAAGCAGCTGAGTCAAGACACCTGCAGAGATTGCTTCTTCCCTGGCATGATTAGAATCACAACACAAGGCTAATAATGAATTCACAGCACTCTCACTTCCTTGATGATCTGATACTCTGAAAACCATCTTGACTAGAGCTCTGACACAACTAGGATTACTGATGACTACTTCTTTGGCACTTTCCACCACCAAGAGCCTTTCGATTGTTGCTATTGCTGTTGGGGCTAATTTCCTTTGATATTTTTCGGATTCCAGGATATATGCTATTAGCCTTTCAACTGCACCTTCTCTTACCAAATTTTCTCTAGTTGTTTCCAAACAAGATAGTGCTGAAATGGCCTTGATTCCAGCTTCAGAAGCTTCAGAAGTTTCAGCCAAAAGATTGAGAAGTTCTTGCTGCAACTTGGTTGATTTTCCTAGCATAATAGAAACCTGTTGTGTTTCCATGGATGAAGAAATTACCTCAACAATATGGCACAAGTACCTCTTGATGTTCACATTGCCTCTGTAGAAGAGTGAAAGGAAGCAGTCAAGGACTGGTTCTTCTTTAAGCATGTTTAATGATGTGAGATCGCTAAATGGTAACAACTTCAAGGCACAAGCCAATGCTCGTTCGGAAAACCTCAAATCATCTTCAGAACAAGAACCATTGACCTTTCTGAAAATTTTTTCTAGCAGTAAGGGAAAGAAGTCTAGTTGGATCAAGCAAGTATTCTGCAAAGGAAGCTCTTCAGATAATATGTAAACTTTTTCAACTATTTCAAGCTTTTCTTCCAATGTGGAATCCTCTGAATCAAGTCTGTGCTTGAGTACAGAAATGCAATCGACGTGATTGATCATTTCGCAGTAATCAAGACAAAATTGGCTATCCTCTTGAAGCCATTGATCTATCAGATGGCGAAGGGTGTGGTTGGGAACCATGGAAAGATCATCAAGCTTCTGCATTGTGACAGGACACGTTAGATTTCCAGCAGCAAGCCATTTTTCTATGCTGGATCGATCATAAGTTTGTCCTGTGCAAAGAGTTACTGGATCTGTGAACAAATCTAGACTGATAGGACACTTGAACAAAGGTGGAATAGCCATCTCTCTTTCTTTCGTGGATTGATAAACCAGTTCTACAATTTTATGAACCAAAAAAACTTCAGGCAATGAACAATTCTCATAAGAGATAAAATGATGAAGATGAGTACCAATCAATGATGCCTCAGGACTAGCTGGCCTCTAGAAGGACTAAATCCGATGTGGAACATCAACTCCCACAACTCCGACTAGGCAAGTATGCAACCGTAAAAATGCTTCCAAACTTGCTAAAATAGCTCAAGAATTGAATGCATTTTCAGTTTAGATACAAGGGATAAGTTTGAAATGACAAGCTAAAATTTATACTTAGGGAAAATCACAATCCAAACAAAGAGGGGTGTGAAAGTGAACGGTTAAAGCTAAGAGACAGGAGGAAAGCTGTAGAGTATGGGATCTTAGTTGGAAGGATCAGAAGATTATTGCAGCATACAAACACTAGAAGATGGCCCCAAACCAAAAGCTGGGGCCTTATCCTAGTGAGAGTATTGAAGAGATTGCAACCAATAATATAGAATGATTAAGATGGGGACCCATTTTTTCTTTGCTCCAATATTTATCATTCAGTCAAAGTGTCGCACCAAGAAAAGCACTCCAATTGCTGATGAATCTTTGAAGTTTGAATCAACTTTGAATATAAATGTATCCGTCCTTTTCACAGACGTATATGATAGATTTATCCTCCGGGGCTGAGAATCAAAACATTGGTTCAATGATATTGGCCCTTATGGAGATTTTTCGTTTGCCATTTTGGGTGGTTTGGAAATTTAATATGGTTTATTGACTGGTTTGATCTTTTTGTCTTTCAGTGGGAAAACCATAGAATACTTATATTTGCACAATATCACTCGGCCAATCTTCATCAACATGGACCTCTTTGAGTCTATGAGAAACCACAACAAATCCATAAGAGGAACAATTTTTTTTTTTCCCTTAAAGAAACAAATTCTGTGGTAGCCTAGCTATACAGAAACTAAACTATTCGATACTTGCATTAAGCATGCTTAGTAAGAGTTCTTTCAAATTTTGAGTCACCAACTAATCAAACGAAACGAGAACGGCATTTATATTTATTAAAATTTCAACCTCGACTCGAGTGTGACTTGATTTTAATATGTAAAAGGAAAAAAAGAACTACTTGAGTATTATTCGAGTTTGGCTTGATAAGTGAATAACTTAAACCTGATTTTAAGTTTGTTCAATTAGGTAAAACCAAATAGAAATAATTTCCTCTTTAATATTCAGCAACAAGTTTCACTTCAAACTCAAGTGAAATGGTGATGTAAATGTAGATATGCTTTGGATCATACAAACTTTGAAAGTTTACCAATAATAAATCTATGGCATATTCTATTTGAAACTATGCAAAATCCCTAAGAAATGTTATTCCCATTTTGGCGGACCTAATGAGGTAATTGTATCCAATAGTTGGTCGTTTGGCTTAAATCCATTATACACCACAAATGATCAAAAAGAGAATAAAAGACAAAGAAGCATAAAAAAAAGAGAGAGAGAGAGGATAAAGTCACTTCAAAAAAAGTTTGTAATCCTCACGGCAGTATTCAATTTTTCCTCCTTCGATCCTTCCTAGCAATGCAATTTTAACTTTTTTTTAATAGAAGAAAAAACCTCAATAAATTGGAAATTATTCCCAATTTGGGTAACAATCTTACTGAAATTTTCATAAATCAATTAATTATCGTAAATCTTACCTTTTATAAATCAATTAGTCACCGGACATCTTATACTTTCTAATCTTTTGAATTGTTGCCATTTGACTGTTAAAAAGAATGTTAATCAAACACAGTTCTGGAAATAGGACAAAGAACGTTAATCAAACACAGTTCTAGAACAAATTGACCTAAGTAAACAAATCAGAACATGATACATGATCAAAGTTGAATTTTCTATTATTGCAAAAAAAAAAAAAAAAAAGCCACATCATGTTAGAAGTAAATTATTTTCTGTCTCTATTTTCTTTATAGAGAATATAACTTTAGAATGTGGATGTTTGATGGTAATTGAATACGACTAAAAAGGACCCATCAGTTATCCGTTATCCTTACACTTAGGAATTTGAAAATATTATGGTAACTTACATAACAAACAAACAAAAAAATTTAAATACAAATGATCTTTCAAATAAATAACTATAATGTGCTAAACAACGTAAATGAATAGTAGCTTAAATTGTATTCTAAACTATGACGAAGCTAAATATAAATACTTAGTGAAGCACATGATGAAGAACATAATTTTCTTCTTTGGAACTCTTTCGTTCTCCACTTTTCCTTTCGCTGCTTCTTCAATCCCATCTCTCTTCTACTAGAAAATATTTATTAAAAAAAAAAAAAAAAAAACTCTTCCACTCACATAATTCGTTTGCATAAAAATTAGTGTGTAATCGATTACTAACAGCTGCAAATCACATTCGAGGTTCTTGGACTTAAGCTTCTACTTGTTAAAATTTCTTGAAGAAATTTCCAATATTTGGCCTATATTCACCACTTTCATCCCATTTTTGACTGGATTCTTTAGTGTACCTCTTCAATTATATTCTCCCGAAAATTCTTCGTATAAAGACGGAGTTCAGCATTATTCTCCATGTATATGAACCTCAAGGTTGCTAACATGTAGGTTACTCTTTCAATTTGTGCTACACACAGTTCATATTGCTACTAAAACAGTAGTATTCTCATCATGGTTCAGATTGTACCAATTAACTTTTTGTAGGCAAAAAATTATTGAATTTCCGAATACTATACAACGTATTCAATTTCCCACAGAACTAATTAAATACGTTGAATAAAAGAAGTTGGTTTAACATTATAAGAGTTGAGAATCATCACGTAACACAAAGTATTTGGTAAGAATTTCTAATTTGTATAATCAATAGGCAAAGTGCATGAACTTATTGCATAGAATATTACGTGCATGTATCAAAAGAAGAGGACCCGTAAGCAAGAAGAAATAGTGCGTAATAAGCCCTTTGGCTTTTGACTGGCCTAACATTTTATGCCTGTCTTTGCCCATCAGAATTCAAAATGAAATGGGATGGCTGCTCTGGGGTCCTACCATCACTGTTAACTACAGTGTTAACAACCATTATCGCCTTCTCATTGTCGTTTCTTTGTGAAGCATATAGCTAAAGAAATAAAAATTATTTTGGCGAGAAAACTTTGGTCTAGTGATTAAAGTTTAAGTTTTAAATATTAGCGATTTTGGATTCTAATCTTTTTGCACCTTCTCCCGTTTTTTAATTCCGCCCCTCCCTAGCTAGAAATTTTTTTTAAAATACAACATATATTTGCTCTGTTTTTTGTTAAAACAATTCATGCAGTTTCTTCGGTGGTCAGAAATATTAAGAATTTTTTACGTTAGAATTCTTTTTTGCTATGAGCTAAAAGAAACCACAAAAAAATTAATTTTCTTTATTGGTCAATTTTTTCGCCATCGCCATCGTTTCTAACCAAAAAGAGCATTGCATGTGGAAGCTGTACTGATGGTTGCATGCCTAACAGTGAAAGTTATTGTAATATGTTGGGTAAATTACACTTTATTCTCCTATGGTTTAATTTTTTTACATAACCCCCCTATGATTTTAAAAACTATACATAACCCTCTCATGATTTGAATTAAAGTGTTAAAGTGACGAAAATGATCATTTATAATGAAGTCATCTAAAATATCAAAAATACCCTTATGTAAAGTCGAAAATTATTTATTAACCAAAAGGGGTTATGTGTATATTTTAAAAACCATAAGGAGGTTATATGGTAATGTATTAAACTATAAGAGTGTTATATGGTAAAACATAAAATCATACAGGATCTGTGTGTCATGTATTTATAAGGGTAATTTTGATATTTTTAAAAATTCCGTTATGAATGGTCATTTCTGTCATTTTAACACTTTAATCTAAACTATAAGTGAATTATGTATAATTTTTAAAACTATATAGAGATTATGTAGAAAAATACTAAATCGCATGAGTGTAAAGTGTAATTTGCCCATAAATGTCTGAAGTTGAGTATGACTGTTCACACGGTTCACGGTCTTTGAAACCATCATGTACCATCATCATAAGATTAGGGAAGCAATTATTTTGCCCAACGATACAAAAGGAATGGATGTGAACCATCTTTTGTATTTAAGTGTTTTGATTTATCATCTAGTGGGGAAGGTGAAAATCAACAGAAAGAGTCAAAGGATGGCCAAAAACTAAGAGACAAAGCGAACACAGAAAGAAACATAGGAACATCAAGATTGCTATGTAGAATTTTCAGCTTTGACTACTATCTTGTCTGCCACTAGATGATTCTACTCCAAGTAAACTTGCAAAGAGCCCTCTCTCTCTATTTAATACTGCATTGGTCCCATCTTGATAGTAGTGTTAATTTTTTCATACGAAAAATTAATTAACTTTATTAGAAGAGTAAATCTAATCTATTATTTTTCTAAAATACTCTTCTATTAATATTAGGAATATGATTAATCATTATATCTTTACATTAATTACAACAATAATACTACGGAATATTGCAGCATTCAAGATACGAATCAAATCAATAACTGAATAAGATATGTTATATTCGTTTACATTAGATAAGGATATTTTAGAAAAATTACAAGTTTAATGTAATAATAACAAAACGATCAAAGTGGGACAGAGGGAGTATTAATTTGGTATGTTTGGATAGCCTCTATTTGCACAAAAATTATTTATTTGCATCATAAATATATTTTTCAATACATCTTTTTATTTTTTCAATCACATTTTTATCTCACATGCATGATACATCACATCACAAATAGTGCTACAATAATTATTCTAAATAATATCTCAAATAAACTCCTAAAGTGCTACATAAATGTGCAGTAAATGTGCATATTAAAGGGAAACTCTTACATTTTTTTGTAATATTTTGAGATTCAAACTATAATATTTACAAGGATTTTTTTAAAAAAAAATATTTACAAGGATATAAGTGAAAAGTTTAAACATTCTAAGTATGGCTGTGAATTAGACCTTTGGGCCACGTTTTGATATGCCCAAGTCTAGACCCAAAGAAAAATCTAAAAATTGTGCTTGGGGCCATGCCCATTCCGGTTAAACTAGTATGGATCAACCTTACCCCTTTTGTTTTATACGGTGTCGGGCTCTAAAAACAAGTTGGTCCAAATTTAACAAATCACCCTTAAAATATTATCTTACAAAAAGTATAAGACATTAATTAAATGTAATGTATTTAAATTACATCAAATTAAAGATCTTAGGTTCAAATCTTCCTTCCCCTCTTATTAAAAAAATTTAAAAAAAGATATTAGTTAAACAAATCAAGGTTTAAGATGCTTAATACAAGAGTACTCATAATTTAAAATTATGAATTTCTTAATGACACTATATTTTTAAACAATGAGTATGTGTATGTGTTTGTGTGTGCGCGCACGCGCACATG